TTTTTCAAGAAATTTATGAAAAACCAAGACTGATCATATGGGCTATGCAAAGGCCATATAGACATTATCAATCATAAGTATTGTGTTCCCACAATCAGAATAAACTTCTTATCAACCTGTTGGGGGAACTTTGGCACCCTCCAGACAGTTTTTATCAATTGTATCAGCAACCAATGAATCGCCAACAAAAGGCAAGACACCAGAAGTGACATTGGGTATAGTATCCAGATTCTTAGGATTCTCTGTTCCAGAACCGCTATGCATCTCATACTAGAGGAGCGGCCCTGTTGGTTCACCAAAGCCCGACCCAGCGTCGCACATTCTCCAAAAGGTAAAGGTTCTATCATCTTGTCCATGTAGTCCTGGTACTCAACTGTAGTCTTTGGACGGAAGTCCCTCCATTTTGTCCCAGAATCTAAGGAACTTTGAATAAACATAAGCAAGATATAATTTGAAAGAGACTGTGTGGCCTCAGAGACTTAGAAAGAGACATAATCCAAAATGCTTTCATGATTAATAAGAACACAATCTAAGATAATCTTGAAAAGTGGATGAAAGAAATGAAGCTAATTAACTAAAACATGCACAAGAAAATTCAGTCTTATTCAGGTCAGGAATAAAAACTGCTTACCTTCTTTTGAGTCCCCATCGCGTGTACTTGTGCAATCCCCTTGAGTTTGTAATTTTCTATTCCATATGTTAACAAATTTCATTATAACCCTTGGCCTAAATAGAGAAATATTAGGTCGTGTGAATTACTAAAATATTTTATTGAGATAATATCAGAAAGAGACCCAACCCTCCCAAGAAATTTTATAACATACCTTTCAACATAGAACACACCCTTTACCACATTATGGGTGGAAGATTGAGCACATTGATGAGAAGACTGAGTGGAATCTCCGCGCAGATAGCTTCTGCAGAATGATGCAGTCTCCTTACAACTCTAGATTCTGCACGATAGAAAAGAACATTGATAAGTTGCACATATTTTCTTTCATAGTTGATTATTAACACAAAAAAGCACGCGAGGAGAAATTACCTGGCATGAGCACATCATGAACAGTTTAAAAGATGTTATTTCCTGCTGCCGTTCTTGAAGACTCACTTGTGGCAAAGAACTTCTTCTTGTCTTGGTAAAATGGAGGAGCTGAATGACTTCTTCTACTCTTCTTCTTCCTTACAAGCTCATCTGTTTTACCTCGATTTCCAGCGTCAATCCATTTATGCGAGTCCCCATCCACCCTAGAGGAGCATAGCTTGTGGTAGCAACTAATTTCAAGATTCTCTTCACCAAGAGAAAGCATGTGTCAAATCATCTCAATCAATCATCTCAATCATAATAGAATCAAGAAGGACCTGAACTATAAACATCCCATGGATCCAGTCCCCTATACCGGCCATGCCAGTTTGCCCAATTACAAGTAAAACTGCAAAACAAAAAAATAGAAGAACACCCGTAAAAAGATACTAACAAACACAAACTGTCAAACAACCTATCAGTTGAGGAACGCATGCAGCCCTATAGACTACGACAACCATTCCAAGTTACGAACATAATGTTGTCAGTCCAATATTTTGCAAAATGAATACCACATCATTCTCTCCTCAGCATCTGTCCATCTCGTGAGACACCAGATCCTTCAAAAGAAAGTACCAACTTCAGGTGATGAAGCAAAATAATAAATTGAGCAGAATTTATACATATCAAAATGCATTTAGATCGACGTCAAAGAAACTAATAGATACCAATGTCATCCACCTTAAACAATTCAGGACCCAATGTCTATAGCAACAGATACCTGGTTGAAAATAGAAACTGGGTTAAAGTTCAACTTAGGAGTACACAAATTATAAGAATAACAAACATAAAAAGAGCAGTCCAACAAGGGAGTAAATCTCATGGAGAAAACAAAGTGCTGTTATAAGAATATTCATTTGTTAAAAAAAATGCTTTGATACTAGAATTGAGCATCATACTAAGAGGAGAAAAGTATATCAATTTTCATATAAAGCATATCCCTTGTAAATCAGAGGTAGCAAAAATAGAAACACAAGAATCCATTGAAGAGCCTCACTGATCAGTGCCTTTGGTGCAAAGAGTCCAAGATATCAAAACTGCATTAAAGCATGACTGGCCATATTCTCAGCAGCCCACATCTATTGATCCTCTAAACATTAACAAAATCAGAAAACATAAAAATCGCCCACTCTCTTATATGACACAATTTACAACTTATAAGAAACAATTGAAATCAGAAAGTCTAGAGCATGTTCATTTCAAAGATGACACAATTTACAACTTATAAGAAACAATTGAAATCAGAAAGTCTAGAGCATGTTCATTTCAAAGATGAAAATAAGTCTAGACCATGTATAAGAAAATGACCACTGAGGGTGTTCTGTCCAATCGAGTGTCTTCATTCAAAATACTACAAATCATTTCTTATAATTAAACTACTTATTTTTTAAGAATTGTGCCAGTGGGGCCTTCAACAAGAAAAACTCCACATTTTCCCATTCAATGGCTTCATAATTCAGTTATAACTAACCAAAAACAACACCACGAGTATCTATCATGATTCATGACTTCATAATTCAATTATATAAAAAGGCTCACCTCTATGTGACTATCACTTTAATCTTTGCTAGTGAAAGAAAGGCCAGCATCTTCAAATTGCTGCACCATATCAGGATCCACCTACGTAGCGCAGGATAAGTTTTTAGCATACATCCCTTACTAAAGAAATCACATCCTATGGTCTACATATAATTATTAAACCAGTCCACCTAGATGTGCATTAGTTACACCACAGTTCCAAATTTAAAGGAAAAAAAGTGGTGAACCTCATATATATGACGGTGCCTCTCATCTGCAAAGCTCCGATTGCCAAATCTGAGAAAAGATATAATTAAGACAGTTGGTAATATCAATGGGAAAAATCCTCCAGAATGGCTTCACAAACTTATCAACAAGCATACCCAATGTATGCAAAAAAAAGAATTTCAAGAAACCAGAGAGAAAAGGCAAAGAACCATATCATTTTAAAAAATACTTGGTCAGAAATCAAAAAGTCAATAAACGAAGTGTAGCAAAGACGACTTATCACATCTCTTTATCCATCAATTTGGGGCTGCATACGTTCATTGTGTAAACACCAAGACCTGACAGTTATCCTGAAAGTTAGAATGCACCAACACTTACATTCAATTTGTTAAGGAAACTCAGATGAATTCCAAACCCACTAGACAACAGCGGCAAGGAGAAGGAGAAGCACATGTGCAAAGCAGGTCATCCTCACTGCATGCAAATGAACAAAATCTAAGGAACTAGACAGGAAATCCTTAAGTTAGATGGTGTATTTAAAACGAACCTTCCAATGTCAACAATTTTGAAGGAGACACTGCGATGCGCAAGGGAGATTCTTAGCAGAGACTCTTTCGGAGAATGCAAGACCCTACTTGGATTTCAAGATTATATATGCAGACCAAAAAATCAATCAGATCAGAGTACAGTTTAGAAGTAAAGTATGTAAAGCAATATTTTTTACTTGTTTGATTTTGAGAAAACTAGAAGAACTTGGAATGCATTTGCTTCCTTTGAACTTCTAAGTTGTAAAATACATCACGAACAATTACTGCAAAAGAGAAACCCTAGAAATTTCCTTTATTAGCAGGCAGCAGTTAACTCAATTATCAAGTAGGCTTATACAAAATCACCTGCTATACCAACATCTCGTCTATAATCATCAATTCCAAGTTTACAAAACACTTGCCATCCAGTTAACAATGGCCAGATAAGACTTCAAGGACCAGGTTAGTAGTTCTATACCTATCCTAGTGTCAACTACTTACTATAACTCAAAAGAATTTTACCTTCAAAACCTTACAATATCTATTAGGCCTCCCATGAGATTTGGTAACAATTCCAGAAAAGAAATATCAGAAATAGAGCTCAGAAACAACTAGTTACCACAAGATATTCTTGAAAAACACATCAAAATAGCTTCATCAGATTAACACAATCGGTATCAGTGGTGCCAACAATGAGAGTTAAATACTGCACATAATCTCTGCTGAATCGATTGCATATCTACCATGGAACAAAAATGAACAAGTGACATGTTTTTCTTTTTTTGTGGCGATTAGTCAAACCAATCCTAATGTCGACTACTTACTATAACTCAAAAGAATTTTACCTTCAAAACCTTACAATATCTATTAGGCCTCCGATGAGATTTGGTAACAATTCCAGCAAAGAAATATGTAGATATGGTACAACAAAGTAGCGGCAGGTGATGACCAGCACTTTTAACAAATAGCATGTCATTGGAGTAAATAGCTTCCTATTCAGATCTAGCAGAATGTCTACAGAATCACACAATGTAATCAATTGAAACAAAATTCAGTAATCCTAAAAGTGCAACAGTTCTCAAGTTTGATCTAGTCCACTGTCTGCAGTCGAAAACTAAGAGAAACCAGATGCAGTCCTCTGGTTACATGTGCTCCCACTTCCTCCACTTTTGTCACTTCCTCAGAGCCTATTCTAGCTTTTCCTTTATCCCCTCATTCTAATTAATGGTATTTCGTAAAACTTTTGAAACATTAGCGTAGGTGTTAAATGTTCAAATGAATTTATTTACACCAAAGAATAGAAAAGATACTAACTCAGTCCTGAAGGAGGTAAGTTGATTCAACCTTCTGACTAAAAGGATACATAAAAAGGTACTCATTTAAAATACTACAAATCAAAGTTAGGCTACAGTTTTCCGGTGTTTAGAAATAATCAAAAGTCAAAAAGTCTAGACCATGTAAAAGAAAGGGGCGGTGAGGGGATTTTAAGTCTACAATTGAGTGTCTTCATTCAAAATACTACAAATCACAAACTTACTTATAATTAAACTACTTTTTTTTTATATAGTTGCGCAGTAGGCCTTCAAGAACAACTTCACGTCTTTTTTCAATTCCAATTTTCCAAGAGGAAGCAGGGGAAATTAGGGCCAAACAAGTTCTTGAACATCCTTAACATGCATTGACAGGATGACAACCTAATTTGCTTTTAAAAAAAAGTTTACTTGAATTTTCTTGAAAAAGCCAACAAATTCTTGAAATTTTCTTGAATTTCAACATGCAAAATCGAGTTCTTTGGAAGAATATCAAGATAATGAGTAGAGTACCAAGAGATAGATCAATTGATTTAGGGTTAGGGTTTTGATCGGACATCGTCACTTGAACCATCAAGAACACCAACAAGTTCAATGAACTTTTCTTAAAAATTAAACACAAAATAGAGTTGTTGAATTCGAATATGCCGAATGCCAATGAATCATGATAGATTTGCCGATAGCCGCCGGTAGCGTAGAAGTTCCGGCGGTCGAAGTATTGAGTTCTAAAATGGACACTAGGTTCTCTGTTTTATAGTTTTAGAACCAGATAATACACGCGGCAGAAAAATAGAACGCGGAAAAATAACTACTTAATAAAAAATATATTACTTTTTTGTAAACTATTTTATTCTAGTAATTAATTTTTTATACTTTTTGTAATAGGAAGAAATTATTCATTGAATGTGAAACACGGCCAAAGATAATCTGTAATACTTTGCAAATGAACTAAAACATTCATATTTTTTATATACTAGTTTCTCACAACGTGCGTTGCATGTTTACTTTTTACTATTATTATATAATTTAAAATTGTGCTATCAAATAAAAAATATTTAAATTAACAATATTAATTTTACCAATTATATTTCATGTATCAATAAAAATAAATAAAAAGGGATTGCGCATTTGGCATCAAGCAAAAAGTATGTAAAATTAATTAACATAATATAATCTCCTTTAACTTTGTATAAGTCTTTTTTATGATCTAAATATCAGTGATAACATTTTATAGCCATAAATGAATATTAAAAATACATGCACACTTATTGATAAGATTGACTATTTTATTTTAATGAGAAACGATAGAGTGAAATATTTATATTATTTAAGTAAGGTTCTAAAATTAAAAGACAGTACTATCAAAATTATACAAGATTAAAAGCAATTACATTTAAAATATAAAACTAATAAATATATAATTTAAGCACTGAATCTCATACATACATCTATTTCAAAAGCTCATAATAATAGCTAAAAGATTACAATATCAAATGAGTTTATTAGAAATGCAAAAGGAATTAAAAACAACAATAATCTTCGTGATGGAGAATATATATCGAAAGAGATATGAGGAGTTAGGCATGTCTAAAAAGAAGTCTTCAAGTTCTTCTCCCCACCTCATGTATTCTATATTTTCATGTCTTTTTGGCGAATCATAGATGGAATAGTTTTTTTATTATCAGTTGAATGACAATTTCTTTCATTTTTCAATGTTATCACCTAGTTCTTAAATAGATGTCTGTTTAAATTCTATATTTTTCAGTTCTAAATAATAATCTTTAATATACAGATAGATGGAAAGATGAAAAATACAAATCATAGTTAGACTTAATAAGAGAATTAACATTACTACTAATAATTATTACTTTGAACTTGGAATCTAATCTAGTTTGAATGAATAATTAAAAAGATGAAAAACACAAATGATTGTAATTAGTAATAAATGAGGCAGTTACAAGTTATCTCAATAATTTATTACTAATTCATTCATATATAATAACACACTTTTAATATCATAGTAATAATAAATAAAATAAATGGCATTAATCGATTAAATAGGGGGGTCACTCTTTTCATATGCCAATAATTATTTTAGGATATACGTGTACAATTAAAATATATCTTTTCACATTCCAAACATTTAATTATTTGCTTATATTTTAATTAAGAATTAATTTAAGAAAATGCAAAAGTCATCTACATTTTTATTAAAATGATACAAGTTAACATTTAAACTAAATAAATACTTAAGTGCTTTTATAACATTTTAATTTTTAGTATGGATAAAATTGTAATTCAACTTTTAACTTTTTTTTGTTCTCTCTTATAATAATACTAGTATCTGGAACGTGCGTTGCACGTTTGTCCCTTAATATTTTTATTTTAAGTTTTTCTTTATAAAGTTCAATTATATATCAAGAAATGCAAAAATTAACAATTTTAATTATGATTTAATCTCAAATGGTATGAATATGTCTATGAATAGCTAATTATTTTTTCAGATCAAACAACTTATTTATTGAAGTAGTTTACAATGATTTTTTACTCGAAAAAATAATAAACAGATGTAAGATTCTTTTTCTTTTGTGCTTATATGAATTGCATTTTTTTCCTTTTTTAAAAAAATATACAATAGTATTTTTTTAATGAAAATAGAAAAAATTGACGAACATTATTCTCATTTTCGAATATCTTTTGATCTTTGTTTCCATAAGATGAAAATTAATTATATGAACCAAAAGATTAATTTAAGAAATTGGGATAAATAGTTCTAATTTAAAAATAATCATTTCGTTTTCATATCAAACACTATATTGCTAAACATACTAAGATTGAGGCTTAAACCACACATACATATATAAAAAGGATAGATATACCTGAAAAAAAAGAATCTCTAGCAGAATGAGAATGAATGGAAGATGAGAGCAAGAAAACTTACTGTGTACCTATATAGAGTTTTGTAATGTAAAGAATATGAAAAGATGGAGAAAATTATATAAACATTGATCAACAATAACCAAGAAAAATATGACATGAACCGTTTTTGGATTGTAATCAAGGAGCTTATGACTATCTATCTTCAATCTGAAGTATTGAATTTAGTGTAAAGCATTAAGTGCGGTTGGAATGAGTTTAACTGCAGAAACTCAAAGGATCATTAATTAAAAAAAAACTGTTTTGCTATCATTATTTATTTAATTTTCAAATTTACATTTTCTAATTTAATAAAAAAGTGAAGGGCATTTTAGTAATCCAACTTTAAACTCAAAACCTTCCCACTTATAATAATACTAGTTTCTGACAACGTGCGTTGCATGTTAATTTTATCAATTATATTTCATCTATCAACAAAAATAAATATTAAGGGATTGCGCATTTGGCATTCAGCAAAAAATATGTGAAATTAATTAATATACTATAGTCTCCTTTAACTTTGTATAAGTCTTTTTTATGATCTAAATATCATTGTTAACCTTTTATAGCCATAAATGGATATTAAAAATACATACACACTTATTGATAAGATTGCCTATATTATTTTAATGAAAAACGAAAGAGTGAAATATTTATATTATTTAAGGTTCTAAAATTAAAAGATAGTACTATCAAGATTATACAAATTAAAAACAATTACATTTAAAATATAAAACTGACAGATATATAATTTAAACACTGAACTTTATACATACATCTATTTCAAAAGCTCATAATAATAGCTAAAAGATTACAACACCACAATGAGTTTATTAGAAACACAAAAGAAATTAGAAACAACAATAATCTTCGTGATGGAGAATATATATTGAAAGAGATATGAGGACTTAGGCTGTCTAAAAAGAAGTCAAGTTCTACTCCCCACCTCATGTATTCTATTTTTTCATGTCTTTTTTGCCTATCATAGATGAAATAGTTTTTTGATTATCAGTTGAATGACAATTTCTTTCATTTTTCAATGGTTATCACATAGTTTTTAAATAGTAGTAAAAATATATGTCTGAATTCTATATTTTTCAGTTCTAAATAATAGTCTTTAATATATAGATAGATGGAAAGATGAAAAATACAAGTCATAGTTAGACTTAATAAGAGAATTAACATTACCACTAATAATTATTGCTCTGAACTTGGAATCTAGTCTTAGTTTAAATGAATAGTTAAAAAGATGAAAAACACAAATCATTGTAATTAGTAATAAATGAAACAATTACAAGTCATCTCAATAATTTATTACTAATTCATTCATATATAATAACACACTTTTAATATCTTAGTAATAATAAATCAAATAAATAAAATCAGTGATATTAATCGGATAAATGGAGGGTCACTCTTTTCATATGCCAGTAATTATTCTAGGATATACATGTACAATTAAAATATATCTTTTCACATTCCAAACATTTAATTATTTGCTTATATTTTAATTAAGAATTAATTTAAGGAAATGCAAAAGTCATCTACATTTTTATTAAAATGATACAATTTAATATTTAAAATAAATAATTAAATGCTTTTATAACATTTTAATTTATAGTAAGGATAAAATTATAATTCAACTTTTAACTTTTTTGTTCTCTCTTATAATAATACTACTGAAGACGTGCTTTGCACGTGTGTTCTATGTGAATTTTTATAGATATGTTATAATGATAAAAATTTTATGAAAATATATATGTAAATTAATGAATAATATAATGTAACAATTACAAAATAAGAATAAAGACTTACGCAATAAAACATTCATAAAAAAACTAAATTAAGAAGTCGGATGGTGATAAAAAAAAAGACAAAAAGAAACAGATTTAAGAAAGATCCAATGTAAACATTGTTCTTATAAGGCTGATGTATGTATAGATGAAAAAATAAGTACAAAATTAGTACATAACTCTCTGAGTTCTTATCGACTCCTTTCATATTCTATCAAAATTCAAGAGGTTTCTTTATCTACTTTAACTATAGAATGAAAATGATAGCCTAATAATCTTGGTAGGATTTCACGAGATTAAAAAAGTTGAATTTATATAGATAGAATAGAAGGAATATCAAAAGATATATTAAAGTTTTAGTTTAAATATTTGGAGGTTATGAATATGAAAAGATGAAAGTTCTGAATATTAAGAGTATAAAGTTGAATAAGTAATTAACAAATAATAATAAATAAATGAAGAATATGAAATAAGAAGTTAAAATTAGCAAACCATGTAGAAAGAACAACTAAAAGTCTTATCACGTAATTAAGCGTTAATGAATTTAAATTTGTAAAGATAGAGTCATTCTTTAATAATAATCGAGAGGACATTATCAACGTGTGTCTCCATTTTGCAAATTTGCACCGTTTATATTATTAAATTCGTTATTTATCATAAAGGATAATACTTTATCCACATAAATTATATTATTCATGAGAGGGGTTAAGGAAAAAGTTACAGAAAGAGGAAAAATATAGCAATTTAGTAAATACTTTTTTTAAAAAAAATTATAATTATTATATACATATAGATTATAGATGATAAATATTAATTAATTGGATATTTAATTAGAAATCAATCTTTAGAAGTCTAAAAGTCATTAACCTTTTAATTAAATTTATACAATCAAATATTTAAATATTTTATAACAATTTAATTTATAGAAGGGGTAAAACTGTAATTCAACTTTCAACTTTTTTTGTTCATGCTTTTAGTAATACTAGTTCTCGGAACGTGCATCGCACGTTTGTCCCCTAATTGATATTAGAAAATTTTAATTTGTATAGCTAAGTTCAAATCTAAGTCCTTTCATATGTAAGTTTAACATAAGAATATAACTCGGCAAAAAATATGACATGAAAATCTTGTGTTAGATGTTGGAAGTTTTATATATTAAATACTTCATGAAAAATAAACATTTATTTTATCAGAGGATTAATATATTTTAATTACTAAACATAAGTTTTAATAATCAAAAAAGATATTGTCTATTAAAAAAATATACGTATAAAGAAAAATATTACAAAATGTTGGGCGGTATACCATCAAATTTATAGAAAAAAATACAATTTCAAACGAAAAAAAAAGAAGTAAATAAAGACATGGCATCCATAAAAAAAGTCATCACATTAAAATATAAAGAGAAATTTTTTTTCATACTAATTGAATTACATTTTGTTAAAAGTAGACTTATTCTAGACAAAACATGACTTACTCTAGACAAAACATATAGTATATAATAATAATAAATAAGACAAACAGAAAGAAGGCATCAATATGTTATGAATAAAGATAAACTATATATATATATAAATTCTAAAATAATATTATTCAATGTATCATTTAGTCATTTTTTTACTATACATTAATTTTTTATTATTTTTACTTTTGCACTTATTTTGTACCTCTCTATAACAGTTAAACATATGAATTTTTTGAACGTTTGAGATTACATATAAAAAGGAAAAAGTACAAATATGTTGATTTAAAAAGATAAATAATTATCAAACAATGAAAAAGACATAATTATTATTCTATGGGATTTAACATGTTTGCCCTCAAAATAATTAATGATAAACACAAAATGTGATTAGCTTTACTACATATATCCTAAAAATAGAAGAAAGGATATGAATACAAAAATACAGTAATCAACTACAAAGTTATATTTAAAAACTCAAAACGATGAAGATGTGAAAAATAAATATTTACTTACAACTTCATATTGGAGTATATTCATCTTGTAACTATCATAATATATTTCTCAACAAAAAGAAGATGAATATGCATGAAATTTTAAAGAATACAAATAAATAAAATAGTATGAATTCTTATAATTACAAACTGATAATGAAATTTTACAAGGGATGTAGACTAACCTATTGTAGTATGCAAGATGATTACAAACTTGAATGAAATAAGTAATATATATATTGTGGTGAGAGTGTGTTTGATAGACTCTTCATTACCCCTACTTATCTTACAAATTAAAGTTGAAAGGTTATTAGACTCTTCATTATCTACATTTAATTAGTACATGAATATATGATGCATTAAGATCTTATTTGATGCATGAATTTAAATATAACTTTTACTTAATATTTAATTAATTAAATAGATATTAATGTTAATTTATTTTAGAGAAAAAAATAAGGATAAAATGATAATTCAACTTTGAGGTTTGGAGCTTCCCACTTATAATAATATATGATATGATATGATTTCTGCAGCAGTATAATGTTATGTTGTTTTTTATTTGTTGGGAAAACTCAAACAAGCATGAAAATATATATGGTAAAAGTAATGAAAATAAAATGAGAAAATAATGACATCAAGAATTTTAGGTGGAAATCCTTTAAAATAAGGGAAAAATCACAGGCCAAAAGGAGCAACTGATATTATTATAGTAAGAAATTTTAAACTGTGTAGTCACGAATACAATAATCAAAGTGACTATTATACACTAAAAAAAACAACACTCTTTTGGTTTCCATCTTAATAAAATATCGCTCACACTCTTTTTTTTTCGCAGACGATTTTTCTTGCGTAGTCTATGGAATATCTCACTTTGATCCCAAAATAATTTTTTCTCTCTAACTTGGTATGTTCTACAAATAAGTAAGAATGCTCTATTTATAGAAGGAGAAATCATGTCTATGTCACTACTGCCATAGGTAAATATAGCAAAGTCAACAAAGGGTTGCAAACCTTACCAATTTGCTAACTATCAAATCATTTATTTGCAACTCTGATTATTATTCCTTTTTAACAATTACTTGTAGCAATTAAATAGCAAAAATTGATCAAAAAATGAAATGGACTCAACAGTATTGAGGTCTTGAGGATAACGTAGACTTTAGCTCTTTGAGAAGCTCCAATTCCCCTGTTATAAATTGCCTTCCAACTCATGGCCATAATACTACTAATGCAAACTCTCATGTGTCCACTTATATCAAAACTATAACAAAAAACAAATCAATCATATAGAAGATTCAACTGGTAGAGAGGCATTTGTTGTACTGTTGATTGACTATAGCACATGGTTTTGCTACTCAACTCATTGTCATTGCTCTTCAATATCAGCAGTCCCTACAGCCAGCCCCCCAGTGTTTTTCACAACAAGATAGAGAATAGAAGACTATTAAAAATTAATTTGATAACTTTGAGTCATTGTCAACACAGATTCTTTTGAGATAATAACAGGTAATTCCCATTAGTAACAAAATCTGACCATTATGTAGGATCAACTTTTCTGATAGAATAATCCAAGCTATTTCAAAGATTTTGGGAAATGTTTCCAAATAGTAGAGAATATATATTTTTTTTAACTGGCTATCGACATATATGTGTGACTATGTTTTGCAAATCTCCATTAAATTATGAGTCAGTCAAAACCTATTGCCAGAAATATGAGTTCATATTCAAGAAGAGTAAAGATGTTATTTCTTCTAAAGAGTTAATTAATTTGCATCTGTATTTTGTCACATTTGACTGCACTCAGTACTGACACTATACATCTTGAGTTATACCTCACTGCCGCTATCAAGTGCAGCAAGCTTCATTTGAAACCATTAAGTGTAATTATCATTTTTACCAAATTGAATGAGTTATGCCACTTTAGGGGACCAGATTGTAGTTCATTCTGATTAACAAACGGTAAGAGTTGACCAAAAAACTTCTATTGTAATGAATTGATTACATTAATATATGGAAGTAAAAAGTTTCATTACTTCAATTTCTTTTGAAGTAGAAAAGTGTGTCCTTAGTCTACCTAGTGTTTCTTATAACTCTCAACCGTACACAGTGGAGTTCCTAGCTTACTACAACTATACAAAATTGAGTTAACAAAAAAATAGGGACTGGTTTCCTTCTCACTTCCTCAATCGAGATGTGACATCGATGAACAAATCCTCACTGCAGGGAATAGTCACACCACCCATTGGATGGTCGAAGCCAAATTCTTCCTCAGCTTGACTAAGCAAGTCTTGAAATAAAGGTTCGCTCAAGAATGATATGGGGATCATGAATCTCTTTTTCTGCATCTCCCCAACATACACAGCAAAATGGCCCTTGGGAATATCTCTGGTTGCGGAAGACTTCTTGATCATACGAAGAATAGCCATGATGATTTAGTTTTAGTATAGATAAGAAAGGTAAAAGAAATACAAAGGAACTCAAAAGCAGAAAAAAGTTTTGATGTTTGCTGAGAGCTGTTGTGGAAGATACCACTTTGGATGTTTATATAGGCAATATCGACTCATTCTGATGTATTTTGAGTAGGAATTTGTGGGCACCAGCAGAAGACAATGTCACTGAAGTATCACATGCTCTTGCCTTCCAAGTATTGAAAACTTTGTGGTATTAGTTGAAGAACAATAGGCCCTACATTTTTTTGAATCTTGGAAAGAAGCATTATTCATTATGGAATTTTTGAGAAGTCATAAAGTTCTTGATTCTGGTGAAGAGCCATTTGGATTGGACATCAGTTAAAGACGATGATATATCAGTAATCACATGGCCCTGCCTTCCAGCTAGTTGACATGAGTAATTGCTTTAGCTCATCAGATCAAGTTCAATAGGTCCTGCATATATTTTCCTATAGGGAACCAAGGATCTCTAAGAATCAAATCCATAAAAATTGCTGGTAGCCTATGATGCAAACTGTGTCCACTTATATACAAACTATAAGAGAAGAGAAGTCAAAAATATGAAAGATTTCACTGGTGGAGAGGTATTTGTTGCACTGTTTATTGACAATAGCACATGAAGCATCACATGGTGTTGTTGCCAACTCATTGTCTAATATATATGATCTTAGCAAATTGCTCATGAATATCATCAGACCCCAGTGTTTTTCATGACAAGATAGAGAACAGACTATCTTTAGAGATCAAATTGATAATTTACTGCAATAGTTGACAACTTGTGGGATCAACATTCCGGATGAGAATAACCCATGGTATTTCAATAGTTTTTGACAAGTGTTTTCAAATAGTAGATAACAGAAATGTTTATTGACTATCAATATGTCTATGTTTTGCATATCCATCAAATTATGAGTCAGTCAGAACCTTACTGTTGCCAGAAATTTGAATCCATATTCAAGAAAAGTATAGATATTATATCTTATTAAGAGTTGATGAATTTACATCCATTTTCTATCTCATTCAGTTAACTCAGTAATTTCACATTACTGCAGAATATCAGATCTAGTACATATTGAGTTATTTGTACATTGTACGACGGATGCTGCCAAGTGCATCTAATTTATTTGGAACCCCAAAGTGTAATTATTACCAATAGAATGAATTGTGCCACTAAAGAATGAATTGAGAAAACCATGAGAGTTGAGCAAAAAATTTCTATTGCAATGAATTGATTACATCAATGTATGGAAGTAAAATGTTTCATTACTTCAATTACTTTTGAAGTAGAAAAATGTGTCCTTAGTCTACCTAGTGTTTCTTATAACTCTCAACTGTACACAGTGGAGTTCCTGGCTTACTACAACTATACAAAATTGAGTTAACAAAAAAATAGGGACTGGTTTCCTTCTCACATTCTCAATCGAGATGTGACATCGATGAACAAATCCTCACTGCAGGGAATAGTCACACCACCCATTGGATGGTCGAAGCCAAATTCTTCCTCAGCTTGACTAAGCAAGTCTTGAAATAAAGGTTCGCTCAAGAATGATATGGGGATCACAAATCTCTTTTTCTGCATCTCCCCAACATACACAGCAAAATGGCCCTTGGGAATATCTCTGGTTGCGGAAGGCTTCTTGATCATACGAAGAATAGCCATGATGATTTAGTTTTAGTATAGATAAGAAAGGTAAAAGAATTACAAGGAACTCAAAAGCAGAGAAAGTTTTGATGTTTGCTGAGAGCTGTGGTAGTAGATATCTCTTTGGATATGTTTATATAGACAATGGAAACTCATACCGATGTGGTGTTGAATAAGAAATTGTGGGCACCAGCAGAAGACAATGTCACTGAAGTATCACATGCTCTTGCCTTCCAAGTATTGAAAACTTTGTGGTATTAGTTAAAGAACAATAGGCCCTACCTTATTTTGAAACTTCGATAGAAGCATAATTCATTATAGAATTTTTGAGAAGCTATGACCTGGAACATGGACCACTAACATGAAAAACATAACCACATTGGGAAACATAAAATTTCATTAATTAATATCCCAAAACAACAAGTAACATGAGAGAGGTCAAACTCTTCCCATCTTTGGACTTGAAAGGCTTTAGTTATCAAGGATTACAGGCCCTACCTTTTCTTTGAACTTAAAGAGCAAAGTATCCCTCACAACCAAATAGCTAAACAAGTATTGTCTAGGTACACATCAAATTTTATATGTTGACATGTTTTTGTTGTAAGAATTATTCCTGAGAAAACAAAAATAGTTTATATGGCCATAAGCTTCCAATTCCAAGTGCTTCCTAGCATAGGTTTATAACTTTTCATTAATCATTATGGCTCTAATTGGTTGAAAAGAATTTGTATATGGAGTCTTAGGAAGTGGTTCTAAGATCTTAAAATTGTTGTTGTGATATCTCAACATCACATTCTCACTTACCATTCTACTTGTCATTAAATAAATATACAAAGCAAAAGACCATCAATAGGCACCTGATGGATATCATATGGTTTTACCTTCTATGTCCTTTTGGGCACTGCTTATGATTTGTGATATAGTCCTATTTTCATGACCATACATAAAAAAAGTGAAAAACCAAGTTGAGAAGAGGAAAGAGGATAAAGGTGAATTTTTGCGTTGATCTACATTGTAGACTCTACAACTATTTGAAGTAAGTAAAACACATAAAGCTATGGTTTGGATTCAATAACTTGCAAACAAATATTATTAGTTACTTCTACACAGGCCTCTCTTAGAGAACCATAGAGTAAATACAGTTGTGCTAAGGCCTCTCTTAGAGAACCATAGAGTAAATACAGTTGTGCTAATCGATGCTTTTAGAAACAAGTTGGCATAGATATATGCAATGTTTTCTTCTCATATCATAAGTCATTTGATCAAATGGTTGGACCAACTTTGCAGATCAGAATTGTCCTGAGTTTTTCAGCTGCTCGAGCGAAATTCTAATAAATCATCAAACCAGTATTGATTTTTCAGAAGAGAAGAAATAGAAAATGTCTAATGAAGTGTGAAGTTGTGAACTATGAATGTGACTTCTTCGATATTTTGAAATTTCTTCTGCTGATTTCATTTCTTTGGCTGCGCCAAATATATTTCAGTGTTCAGGATAAGGTCACAGATGAGTTTTCTTTAGAGTTAATTAACATAGACTTCAGCACTTTATAAGGTCCAATTCCTATGTTATGGAAAGAACAGTCATGTAAAGAAATTTGTTGAACAGAAATAATAATACCAAATTGGATACTGAATGAGTCTGAACTGATTTCATTTGCTAAACTACTGAAAATTGTATTCAAAATTGGGATCTATAGATCCAGCTGACAGTAGTGAGAAGTAACAATGTGTGTTTCCTAATTCCTCTTATGTACAAACTAAAAATCCTATTCTTTACAAAACTGTGAAAATAAAAGCCTCAGATCCTATTCAAGCGAGAAGTAAGATCAACGAACACATCTTCACTGCAGGGTATTGTTACACCACCCATTGGATGATCGAAGCCAAATTCTTCCTCAGCTTGACTAAGCAAGTCTTGAAATAAAGGTTGGCTCAAGAATGAAATGGGAATTACAAATCTCTTCTTTTGGTTCTCCCCAACATAAACAGCAAAGTGGCCTTTAGGAACATCTGCGACTGTAGAGGACTTCTTGATTATACGAGGCATACGGATAGCCATGGTCTTTTAGTTCAATATATAGATGAGGAAATAAGGAAGGGAAGAATTTGTAAGGACTCTGAAAGAACAGATAAGCTTTGTATGACTTAAATTTTTGGTCAGAGCTGTTATGGTAAACCCTTCTTTATATGTGTTTATATAGGCCAATGACAAGTTGTCAAACCCCACTGATGTCTGAATATACATTTTGTGGACACCAGCTAAAGACAGTAGCACCTGAAGTATCACATGGTTTTGCCTTCCAACTCATTGTCATAATATTAATGCAAACTCTCATGTCCACTTATATAAAAACTATAAGAGAAAACAAATCAATCATATAGAAGATTCAACTGGTGGAGAGGCATTTGTAGTAATGTTGATTGACAATAGCACATGGTTTTGCTACTCAACTCATTGTCAAGTATATATGATCTTAGTCATTGCACTTCAATATTAGCAGTCCCTTGTTTTTCAGGACAAGATAGAGAACTGAAGATTTTTAGAAATCAATATGCTAACATTGAGTCATTGTCAACAGCAGGATTTTATGAGTTTGATCAGAATGATAATAACAGGTAAAATTTACTACCATCTGACCATTTGCGTAGTCCCTCAAGCTAAGTCATTATGTAGGAACAACTTTCCTGATTAAAATAAACCAACCCATTTCAATAGATTTTTTCTACATGTTTCCAAATAGTAGAGAATACTATATATTCTTTACTGGCTATCTCTGTCCATGTTATGCGAATCTCCATCAAATTATTAGTCAGTCAACACCTTATTATTGCTACAAATTCGAATTTCATATTCAAAAGTACAGATACTATTTCTTATGAAGAGTTCATAAAGTGTAATTATCATTTTTACCAATTGAATGAGGTATGCCACTTAAGAGGACTAGATTGTAGTTCTTTCTGATTACCAAACCATTAGAGTTGAGCAAACAATTTCTATTGCAATGAATTGATTACATCAATGTATGGAAGTAAAAAGTTTCATTACTTCAATTTCTTTTGAAGTAGAAAAATGTGTCCTAGTCTAGCTATTGTTTCTTCTAA